GGGGGGGTTCTGATACCAAGTCATACACCAGGGGCAACGGCGTTTATGGGAGGCTCATTAACCAGAGGCGAGGCTCACCCCAGCTTACCCACAATCCCTCACTCCCATTAGCCCGATACTAACCACGGCGACCCGACGTGAGACAAACGAGCGGCTTTACCCGCGCCGTTTAAAGGCAGATCCGAGGTGCGCCGAGCGCCAGCCGTCCCGGTCGAGGCTTCCGGCCGACATCCTCCAGCTCAGCTGCGCTTAAAAGCCAATTCAGGTGTTGCGTCAACCTTGTCTTGCTCTAAATAAATGCTTAATCACACACTTGCAGCGAGACGCGGCGTCTGACTCGCTCACGGGCAGAGGCGGAGAGAGAGGGAGGACAAAGCGGGTCAGATGGAGGGGATCCAAAATTCCGGCCGCTGAGACAAACAGAGCAGGCAGCAGCTTGTGTTCTGGGTTATTTCTGTAGTTCGGGTTCACTTTATAAATAATGTAGGTGCTCAGAGTCGACCACAACTGCCGAGTCAACGTTTCATCAGACGGCAGAAATCTTTACAGGCCCAGGGCTCGTTTATCACGGTACTGCTGGCGGTGGGGGGACTTCTAGGACATTCCACCGGCGTTTCTTCTGGGGGAGCAAATAGCCATGTGACTAGTGACCGGGCGTCACCAGTCACATGGGCCGGTGGAGGGGAAGTGGGCGGGGCGCTGAATGCGGTCGGCCGCGGAGCGCTCTGCTCTCCCAGGTGGCTGCGCGCACTATTCATTTCTTCTGCTTGAAGGGACCTGGGAAGGGGGGCCGGTGGCCAATGGGCTCATGTGCCACCCCGCGGCCAGCCAATCAAAACGCACGGCCAGGTCGGCAACAAGCCACAAGGCCAGAGGAGCGAATGGGCAGATGCCGCCGGTGAAGCCTAAGGGCGCCCGACAGGGCCGACCGCTCGCTGGCAGGAGAGAGACGGAGGCGTCACTGTGGAGGAGGGAGAGACTCGGCGTGATGAGTCACCGATCGCGCATTAGCAGCTAATGCTAATTGCCATGCGCGGTGGATGATGTGTGCCTCCGTACAGCCGGCACACTGGGGGGTGGGGGTGGGGGGGCTCTCGCACAGCCGACAGGCTACATTCAAAGAGGGCTTGGTTACTCATTTGCGGGTGAAGCAACTAAACAAGCTGTTTGCAAACACCAGGAAGGAAATTTACGTTTCTACATCACTACCCTGCGAAACCTTGTTACGCATAAAACCTCATTACGCACAGATCGCAGCAAAACTAATCTGGCCCCCGAAATTCACTGCCTTACAGACTCCGTGTGAAAGCATCATCATAGCAAACTGAGGGCTCTTCAGGTTTCCAAGAGACTGCAGTGGAACTGCCCTCTGCTGCAGAGCACAGGAGGCTGGGGATGAGATAAGCCGTCGCTGGACAGTCACCCAGCCCTTCAGCTTTAAACCAAGCTGCGAAATAAGTCTCCCCTCCCCATGGAAGTTTTATTGTTTTGTTGCTTTTGGTGCCCGCAGCACTAAAAATCTATAACCCCTCCCGACTCCATGACCATAAAGAGAAATCCGTCATTCCCGTAGTGAGAGGAAAGAATAATAGATGGAAGCAAGAGGCATTATTAATGTTCGCAGGCTGATCGGGGAGTCGCGTACGAGGGGCGCCTGGCAGCTCCAGTGATTTCAAGACGCCCCGAATTATTAATATGTTGCCTGGATGGGCGGCAGGGTGTGGCACAGGGGCACCGAGCTGCTGAGTTTGAGATAGCTGGCTGCCGCGTCACGCCCAGCCGCGGCGACATGCTCTGCTCTGCCTCCCAAAATGCAATTCACTGCATGCTTAAACCCGGGAAGCCAGACTGACCAACTGAGAGGTGTTATCAACATTGCAGAAACATTATAGAAAGGTTGAGGGAACGAAGCGGCAGCAGCTTGGGGAGGTAATTCCAGGAAACATCCTCTAACCCGTGTTGGGCGGTTTTAAAAACTGACGCCACCCACCTAGCATATTATGGTGACGCAACTTTTGCAGCCAGCCCCCGCATTAGCAGCTCATGGAGCGGCTTATTCGCCATGATTGATGACAGTCAGCCTCTCGCGTGACGCACCAGGACAAAGGCCATTAGAGAAAATTGAGACCAAAGCAGTACAAACACTGCAGCTGATTATACATGCGACGATGCAGCATATGTAAGTCGGCGCATGCAAATAGATGCGCGTTACCACATATTTATCAAACCAATTAAAAGGCCCTGTGCAAGGCTAATATACATACAAATTAGTCCATCAAAACAGTGGAATAATTGGGACCTTCCCATAACAGCCATTACACTGCAGTGACACCTTGTGGCCACATTTGGAACTGCACTGCATCATACCGTGCCTCAAAAGCATTTCCTGAGGGCCCCCCAGGTACAAAGGGAATAACAGGGAGACCCCACCCCCACCCCCGACTAAAAAACCCACAAGGACTGGAAAATCTCCTGCTGAATCATCTTTTATGCCAGAAGATAAGGAGGGCGGCAAATTAGCAATCAATCGATACTGATTTTTTTTAGAAAAACAATTTAAGGAGCTCTTCCAGTTGACCAAAATTTCAGTCACTTGCTGTATTTACATAAATAATGTGACTTATAATGACACATTTATCAATTACCCTTAACTGCTTGTCTCAAGCAGTAGCAGAGGTCAAGGCAGATTCATACTAGACAATAGAGCTGGGAGATAAGACAAAATTATCGGCAATCAATAATAGACAAGTAACCTGGCATCGACATCTGGAAGTGACTGACTGGTGATCACTGCTAATAATAAATCAATATTATTTTGACTCCTTGGATTGGACATGAAGGTATGTAAACATCGGTTATAATTGTACGCAGCCAGGACTTACCAAATATTTAAGAATCGTTTTCTACAAAGACTAAAAATCTGATGATCAGCAGATTTTTTAAATCTGACCCAGCCCTACTTGACAGAGACAGAAACGGCCAGTGCTGGAATCTACCCCATGACCCAATGTAGCCACAGTGTTAACAACACAGTGCAGGGGGACACATGGTGCTCAGTCACACAGGTGTCAGGGTCCCCCCCCCCATCCCCCAAAAACCTCTGCTCGCTACCCTCCAGTTCAGAATTTCCCAACCCAATCCTTGGGGATCTTCAGCCAGTCCACGTTCTTGCTCCCTCCCAGATTCCTGTCAGACGGTCTGCAGAGAGGTCAGCGATCCTGAAGCGTGCCATACCAGAGCTCCCATAGGTAACCTAGGGCAGCGGCACGGACCCACCGCTCTCAAGGCCAGGGAGACGAGTGCAAGACGTGTTTCCTGCACTGAGAGTGTGTGTGCATGTGTGTGCCACAGGAATCCCACTCTGGGTAACACGTCACCAACATGTAACTGTCCCAAAGGGGAGAACTGGCGAATCATAGATGGCGCCCCCTGAGAAGCATGTCAGCCCCCACCCTAAGGCTGTGTGTTCTATACCCAGCTCTCCCTTAATTACATAATTAGCTCTGTAACGCTGATATGCTATTCCGACAACACAGAACATGAGATCTTATCTCAGTGCGTTTAGGAAGCGATGTACGTCAGTGTTGTATTCCGCCTCCAATAACTGAATAATTCTGATGAGAAAAAGGCAGGGGGTGGGATTACCCTTTGCTGTCAATCACTGACCAGTTTAAACCAACAGAAAGCAATAAAGTAACCAATACGAAGTGACCAAGCAATATATGACTAAAGTCACTGATCAACAGCATGAAATTCTCAGTGCCACCCACACTTGGGGGCTTCTGCAGTGGAAGGCGGGGATGGAAAGCATAAGGAACTTCAAATACCCGGGGAGTGATACTGCCCCCTAGTGGCGCTGATCCCAGAGAGCGCCCTCACCTGTGATGGGTATGCCCCCCAGCCCGGTGCTGTGCTGTGCTGGCAAACTCAAGTCCAGGAAGTGGCTGTTGGAGGTGGCGTTGGCCGTGTGGTTAAGGTGCGCCAGGTGATTCCGGGTGGGCAGCCCGGCCCAGGGGTAGCGGGCGGCCGGACCAGGGAAGCTGAATGAGTTGAAGACGGTACGGTGCAGCGGCTGGGCCGAGCGGTGAGGGGGCTGGATGCCTGCACCAGGGGCCCCTTTGGCCTGCGGTCCACGCAGGGTGCCTGGCGATAGGGGCAGGGGGTCCTGAACCGACAGCTCCTTCTCAATGAGGTCAGCCAGAGCCTTTCGGGTGATGTCGAAGGGGTCGAAGCCCAGGTCGTCGTCCTGCTGCTTGGAGGAGTCGAAACCGAAGGCCGCCTGCCAGTCCGTGGAGGACGACACTGGTATGGTGTCTGTGGGGAGAGGGGAGCCCATAGCAAACGCCGGGGGGGGGGGTACGTCCTGAGTCACTCTGATAATAGACGCAGCCATAGAACCCGGTCGCACGTTAATTACAGCCAGGCCATTTGCCCCTACAAATACATTATTTATTTGTCTGAAAGCGTAATAAACTGAAAAGAATCAGAAGCTTAATGAGAACAATTTACTCAGGCCTAGCTCCAATTTAATATCAAAATCTACATTTCATGCATCCTTTATGGAACCGCAATTTAAGCATTTAAGAAACATTACCAGAATACAAAGTACCCAGTATCAGACTGGAAAGGGAGCTGGATTTAAGTCCCCGCCTGACCCAGCGGAGTTTGCCCACCTGACGTGAAGAGGCTGTGTGGCTCCGGCGCCGTCGGCCAGTCGGGGTTGCTGTGGGCGGAGCTAGGGAAGGGGGCGTGGCCACCGGGGAGGGGGTTAGGATGCCGGAAGTTACTGTTGTCAGAGAAGAGAGACTGCGATTCTGCGGCCGCTCCCTCGAAGGGCGAGCGTGCTGTGAGGTTGGACAGGCTGATGGGGACCACCAGGCTGGGCTTGGGGAGGCCGGGGGGAGGCGAGGGCGAGTCGCTATTGGAGACCTGAGAGTGGGGTGGGCAGTTAGCAAGGATGAGTGACAGCCCAGGGACCAATCAGACATCCAGAGGCCATTCTATCACACAGGGATGTACTGCAGTACAATCGCATGTCTACCTTAAAAGAAAAATAGTCTTTCATATGATGTTTGACTTCCACAGATCAAATTACTGAATCAGAAATATTTATCAGGTGCAGTAAAATTCTTCTAATAACCTTCATATACTTTCGGAAAATGCTAACAAGCGTCTGCAGAAATGCACTAAACTGGTACATAAAACACAAGACGTGTTAGGGATGCTACCTAAAGTGACAAACAGTGTAGTGCTACTTTCCCATCAGTGTCTGAAGTGCTAAGCTAACAGCAGTGGGGGGGGGCTGGGCCCATTGTGAGGCAGCAGTTAGACTCACCAGCGGTAAGCTCTCCCCGTTACCTATGCTAATGGCTTCTGGGGGCTTGTCGCTCGGGCTGGAAGAGAAACGCGATGTGAGTGGGTGCATCAAACACTCCCGCACCCATAGCATGAAACAGAGGATCATGGGAGGTCAGGAGGGTCACATGGGAGGAGATGTCATGACAGAATGGCGACTACATAGAGATTAAAGGTGTGCAATCCTACTTTGGACGTAAATAAGCACCTAGATTGCAACGCATTCAATTAAATACACCGATGTACACATTTCACATTAAATAAGCCAAAAGCCTGAGACACATTAAAAGCAGAACCCACCACGTTTGGGATAAAAGCAAAATAGTCATATATGCTGACAGAGGACCAAGACTGGAGTCACCCATCCTTTTTTGGACAAACATGCATTTTGCTACCATGGGAGAGACTCTGAGATGCACAGAGACGACAGCAGGTCTGTTACCCACTAGACTTAAAGGAGTAAAATGGGGTAATTCTGACCCACATTCCCATCCAAACAGAAAGTAGCCCCTCACATAGAACAGAGTGCGTGACCCCCCACGACCCAAAACGAACACCCACATGTGGAATCAGGAGGGGGACCCACCTGGCAAGGTCACAGCCCGAGGAGAAGGGGGAGAGGGCGGGCACCGGGCCCAGGCCCAGCTCGGCCTCCTGCCCGTCCGGCGTGGTGTGCTCCGAGTCGGAGCTGCCATCCAGCAGCGGGGGCGTCTTCCGGTGGTCAATGCCCAGCCCGTTGGCGGTCTTGCCCGAGGTCTGTAACGATGGCCACGCCTCTTTGCTGTTGCTGTTTGGCCTGGGGAGGGGGCAGAGGCACAGTCGAGGCACCCAGTGAGGTCACGAACATGACGCACATCAACAACTGGTTTCACACATGGCCACCGCGGTGAAACCTAAAATGCAGCACTGGCATTACGGACGGACGTGGGCAGAGGCAGCATTGTGGGAGCAGAGGCTGCAGTTCGGTATCCGTCCCCAGACTTCCAAAGTCAAATGAGATTTTCATTATTAATACTACTATTCCTACCATTATCAATAGACAAGCCGAACTCCCCTCAGGGAGCCTCACACAGCCCACATTTTTGCTTCCTCCCAGCTCCTAACATACCTGTAATAGGTATCTGGTGCTCCTGTTTGGTGCAGGGAACAAAAATGCGGGCTGTCCCGGGTCCCCGAGGACTGCGCTGAGAACCACAGCTCAGCCCCGAGGACTGCGCTGAGAACCACAGCTCAGCCCCGAGGACTGCGCTGAGAACCACAGCTCAGCCCCGAGGACAGCGCGGAGAACCACAGCTCAGCCCCGAGGACTGCGCTGAGAACCACAGCTCAGTAAGAGAACCACAGCTCAGTAAGCGAATCGCATCAGTAACCTCTTGGTAGCACCTTCACCAGGAGCTCCATGCAGCCCATAAACCATCTTTAATATGTCCCTGGCTAAACTCGCTGTGCGACTCCGAGGTGCCTAAATGGCTTGTGACTGACCACTGTCATTCAGGGTGTCTCCGCCTTACTAGCCCCGAGACGACCGCAGAACCTCGGTGCCCTCTAGTGGACGGGCCAGGCCCCGAAGTTGACTGGAGGACGGATGGGTGACACAGATGAGTGGTACCTTTGTAAAGAGCTGGATTTTCCTTTTGACTTCTCCCCCCCGGGGGCTGAGGTCTGCAGGAAGCTGGGGTTCATCTTGTATAGCTCCTGAAGCAGCTTCTGCTCGTATTCCTGGTGCTTCCCCGCCTGTGGGAGGTGAAGACCAAAACCCATGAGGACTAGTCCCCATCCAAGAATAACATCTGGTACAGTCTCCCGCACCTAAAGTCTGGGTGCATGGAGGGAAAAAAACATCCACTCCAGAAAAGCCCCTGAGACTCCGGTGGCATGAGGGAAAAGGGGGGCTGTCAGAACAGATGAGGGTCCCAAAACAATGAGAGTGGTTTCCATGACAACCCCATGGGAGGATTGTTGTATTACAACAGGTAGGAGTGGAGGAGCTGAAAACTGCCGTACTTGGACTCAGCTCTTAACACACATTTATCACTGCCCAGAGCCAGCCGAAACAGCCTTCCAGTAGGGGGTGCTGCTGCACAACCGAGAGGTGGAGAGAGATACCTGCATCTCCTCCTTAGTGAAACTGGCCGCCTCGTCCCCCAACTCATGCAGGTACATGCAGTCTGGCTTGGGGCACTGCATGCTCTTCAGGAAGTAGCTGCAGTACTTCGTTGTACCTAGAGAGGCCTGTAGGGGGCAAGGGAGAGAGATCAGTGAGGGGGGAGGGAGATCAGTGAGGGGGGAGGGAGATCAGTTGGGTAGCAAGCTGCCAGCGAATGTGATGAGTCAGCATCGAGGTGGGGGGGGGGGGGGGGGGAGGTGTGCGACCGGGAG